TGACCAATGATTGTTAACTCCTGTTATTTTGTTGTTGTTGTTGGTGGTGGTTTTGTGTGTGTGTGTGTGTGTGTGTGTGTGTATGTGTGTTTATGCTAGTGCTTTGCTTCTTTTTTGTTTTGCTGGTGTGAGATTATTTCCTGTGTTTTCAATATTCTTTCTTTGTTCTGTGCGTTTAGTGTTTTGATTGTTATGTGGTGGGGGACTTTCTTTTCTGGTCTAATCTATTTGGTGTTCCTGTACCTTAATAGGCATGTCCTTCTTAAGGTAAGGAAATTTTTCTTCTATGGTTTTGTTAAGAATATTTTCTGGGTCTTTGAGTTGGGATTCTTTCTCTTCTATGCCTATAATTCTTAGGTTTGGTTTTTTCACAGTCTTCCAGATTTCCTGGATGTTTTATGTCAGGCATTTTTTAGAATTAACATTTTCGTTGACCAATGTTTTTATTTCCTTTAACTTATCTTTTACAACTGAGATTCTGTCTTCCATCTCTTATATCTGTTATCTCTTATCATCTGTCAGTGATGCTTGTGTCAGTAGTTCTTATTCACTTATCTAGATTTTCCATCTTCAGGGTTCCTTCAGTTTGTACTTTCTTTATTGCTTCTATTTCCATTTTCAGGTCGAGAACAGCTTTGATTTCCTTCAACTGTTTATTTTTTCTTGGCTTTAAGGGATTTAAATTTTTTTTCTCTTTAAGAACCTCTGTCATTGTCATAAAGTTGGTTTTAAGGTCATTTTCTTGTGCTTCAGCTGTGTTGGAATAATCAAGAGTTCCTGTAATAGGATGCTGGGCTCTGGTGGTACCATATTGCCCTGACTGTTGTTGATTGTGTTCTCACACTGGTGTCTAGGTATCGATTTCTGAGTTTGTCTTTGTTGAATGATAGTTTGTTCCTTGGTCTTTTGGTCTTTGTGGTCTGTATTTCTGTTGTCTGGCATGACCTCTGATCCAGCAGGGAGTCTTTGTCAGAGTTGGGGGCTGAACTTCCAGAAGATGGCATGCCCCTAGGTCCAGCAGGGTGTCTTTATTCTTCTGTTCGGTGTGGTCTGCCCCTGAGCAGGAAATATCTATCCGAGGTGGGGCCATGTATTGAAACTCTTAATCCCAGCTGTTTATTGTATTTGAGACAGAATATGTAGTAGGTAAAGGTTGTATGATGACAGAGGTGTGTGCCCTGATCCTGTAGGATTACTTGATTGTCTTACAAGAAGAAAGAGATTTCTGAAAGGCACTTGTCTGTAAGCCAGGGAGAGACCTGCAGTGAACTATCCTTACCTTGGGCTTCCCACCAGAATCCTAAGAAATAAAATTGATTTTTGATTTTTTTTGAGACAGGGTTTCTCTACTTGTCCTAGAATTAGATTTATAGACCAGGTTGGCCTCGAACTCACAAGGATCTGCCTGCCTCTGCCTCTCAAGTGCTGGGACTAAAGGTATGTGTGTGCCACCTGGCTAAAATTTTGTTTTTTAAGCCACATGGTTTCTGGTGCTTTGCTAAAGCAGCTCAATGAAGGCATGACTATGTGACAATCTGTTGGTTGATTTCCAGTGGCTTTTCACACAAAGACCCTGGAAACAGTAGAGTGCATGTATAGTACATGTACAGTCTGCAGATAGATATGTCTGCTGTGGTTCCAGTGTGTGTCCCCCAAATCTTGATTCCTTAATGTGGTGGTATTGGGAGGTAGCTGCTTGAGGTCATGACTGGTGGGAGACTATTAGCCTTTAAGGACACTGCCTCCAGAAGAGTTCTGTGTTGGAGCACAGGGTTCCTGTTGGCCCTGTGATCTAGATGGATCTAGCTGTTTGCATGTGAAGCCTTTATAACTGTGAAAGTAATTACAGCCATAGCTGTTTCATTATAGTAAGAAAACAAGCATTTTTATTGTGGAAGTATCTAGGAGTGAACTGACTAGTTTATATGGTGAATATATGTTTTACTTTGTGTGTGTGTACATGTACAGAGACCGTATGTCAGTGTTGGATGTCATTCTCTACCTTATTTTTTGAGGCAGGGTGTTTTGCCTCGGCAGCTGGATTGGATGACCAGCACTCCCTAAGGATGCTACTGTCTCTGATCCTCAGCACTGAGATGGCAGATGCATGCTGCCCTGCCCAGCTGTGCTATTTTGTTTTTGTTCTCTCTCTCTCTCTCTCTCTCTCTCTCTTTGAGGGGGTGTATTTGTTTAAGTGAAGACTTATTTTAAGTACATGTTTATGTCTGTGTGTGGGTTATGTGCATATGTGAGTCAGGTGCCGATGGAGTCCAGAAGAGGGTGTTAGAAATCCAACTCTGCATCTTCTACAAGAGCAGTCTGTGCTGTTGACCACTGAGCCAGCTCTTCAGCTCACTCTGCCCCCTACCCCCCCTTTAAACAGGAGTGCTTTCAAAAACAAAAAAGACAGAGTGCTAGGGATTGAAGTCAGCCCTCTCTTCAGCAGGCATTCTACTGATTGAGCCATTCCTCTAGATCCTATTATACTTTTTAAGAAACTGTCAAACTACCTTCTGAGGAAATTCTTGTTTGCTTACCTACAGGGAGAGTTCTATTTCTCCCCATTCATATCTAGACAGTCTCGAGTTGCTGTTAGACCAAAGGCTCCTACTTGGTATGCCTTGGCTAAGAGAGGTCAGGCAAGTGTGCTATGGAGCCTCCCTCATCTCTCGGGCCCTCGGATTAGGATTTTTTAAAAATTATCATTATGTTAGCGTACTTTTCATAAACACTTAAAATGACAGTGTTTTCACCCCCTCTTCCTTGGCCTTTCCTTTATACAAAACCAAACCAAAAACAGCTTGCTGACTTGGAGTACTGGGCTGAGAGGTATTAAAAGAAGTTGGGGTCAGGGATGTTATTGTCATGTCTGGGTGGGTAAAAGCATTTGCTCTGCAAGCCTGATGACTCGAATTTAACCCCAGGACCCACGTGAGAAAAGCTGGATGTGGTGGCATGTGTGTCTGTAATCTTAGCATCCCTGTGACAATATGGGAGATGGAGATGAGAGCATTAGCCAGAAGCTTGAAGGGCAGCTAACATGGAGTTCACAGAATAGCAAACATCAAGAACCAACTGCAGAGAGTTCTCTATCCTCTGGCCTCCACATACATGTGTGTGGTGACACAGATGTAGCTGCACTCATGCATCTCTCACACGTGAACAATACATTTTAAGGAATTGCTTAAAGGAGTCAGGACTTTAGTGTCTGACCCATGGGGAATTGAGCTTAGGCTTTGTAGGTATGTGAAATCCTGCAAGATGAGCCTTAACTTTCCTAGTCCTGCTTTGTGAATGTGTGGAAGCTGAAGTTCCAGCTTGTATGGTGGTTACAAGGATTCAGCGTAATGCACCAGAACATGTTTGTTTATTGAACATCTGGGAGGATTTGTTTATTAAAACAGATTTATTAGTCCTATTGTTGAAGTATTTGACTTATTACCCACCACTGACTTAATGGGTGCCAACCAGTTACACTGCATTGCCTGGTCAGGGTGACCACTAGATGTTTAATAATATCCCAGACATGGTTTGATCATTTGCATGTATGGGGATATGGCATGTGTGTGTAGGTACTCTCACCAAGGCAGTTTAGCCTGTTCAGGGAAGCCTCCAATCTGATCTCTGGCTACTCAGTCTGTTTTTAAGAAGATTGGAGCACACCCTGTCTCTTTGAGGGTTGCTTTCAGGCTTCTGGGATCATGGCCTGTGAAACCCGCCTGAGTGTCTCAGGAGCGTGTGACCATGGGTGGCAAGGATGCTGTCTTTTTGGCCTGCAGAATCCTTTGTCCAGCTGGTTGAAGTGTGCTAAGAGGGCGTGGAGCCTTTGCTCCAATGCAGAAGTGGGGAGTTAGGTTTTGAAAGTAGTGCCAGTCTGCTCCACTGATGTCAGCGGAGTTTGAAAGGCTGCCCTCAGCATGGGCAGGTAGACGAAGCTGGAGCTCCAGGGAACCGGGAAGGGTGGATGGATATTGGTGGGCAAAGGATTTGTTTTGCCAGGTGGGGGTGTCTTAAGGCTTTCTCTGCTCTGCCCGACCACTGGGTTTCCAATACCCTGCAGTGCTGCTCCTTAGAGCCGGCTGGCTTTTTTGGCATCATTTGGTTTAGTTGCTAGGAAGCCGAATAAGGCAAATGCAACTTCCTTTTGACTTACTCACATTGAACCATCTGCTTATTCCTTTTCGTGGCCTTCAAACTTGGCTAGGATCATTGAGAAAAGGGTCGAGTGGAGCATCTGCGCTCCTCCTTTTTGGAAATGGAATGCTTTCCACTAACTCTTTAACCCTCTCAGTCCACATTCGTAATAGTCTTGTCAAAACCCTTGGTTCTGTTAGCTAGCAACTTGCTAGGTCTGGCCCTTCCTTTTGTCTTAGATTTCAGTCTATATTAATACACATCTCTTGAATGAGGCAGATGGTGGCTGTGTGTGTCAGGGTGTATTTGGAGTGTGAATGTATGGTGGCTTTAGTGGAGGATGGTTTGCACTGTGTTGATGTACACAGCCAGGAGCTTCATTATGAAGTGAGTGTCAGGTATGATCCAGGTGGCAGTGAATCCTTGGAAATTTGATGATGTTGGTGGAGCAGCCATCAAAATGAAGCTTAAAACAAAACCAGTGGTTCTTGTTTCTATTATTGATACTTGCAGAGACTTCTTGCATGTGGACTTGCAGATTTGTTCATTTGGGCAGCTCAGACGTGAGCTGAAGCCCCTTCTGAGGGTGAGTTGTATTGGTCTTCGTGTCAGAGCTACACATTCAGTCACCAACTTTGCAGAAGCAGTTGAACAAACACACTAAGCAAAAATAGAAACAGGTATTAAGGAATAGAGTAGAGCTTCTGACAAAAAGATTCTTGAAAAAAGCCATTGTTCAAGTTTTTGAAATCCAGTTTTACTGAAGACTTAATCACCTTTGAGTGTACCAGAACTGTAGAAAGTAATGTATGAACTATGGGAAATAATTTCTTCTTGAGTGTAATTTGTCTTTGTTGTTTTTTTAGCAGTAAGCCATCTAAACCTTTTCTGCCAACTTCTCATTCTCCCCAAGAGGGCTACTTAAAGGAGAGTGAAGACAGACTAAGGTGAGGTTTTATTGTTGTGGCTCAATTTGCTAAAAGCTTAGGTAGTAATGCAAATGTGTTCTTACTGTGCGAATATAGATGTTTGCTGAAATTGGTGCTATTAATATTTGCTTTTGGGAAGTCCCTTGGGTCAAGTTGATCATATTAACCACTCTACTTTAACTTTTACCTTTCCATAGTCATTTGGACTCTTAACTGAAGTATACCCATGGCCAGAAGGGCCTCAGCCACCAGGTCTTTGTCTGTAGTAGTTTCAGCTGTCTCTGGATGGCTTCCTTGCTTTGTCCATTCTCTGTATCAGGCCTGTGACACTCTTCTGTATGTGATTTTTCTGCTGCTGTCTAATTGCTGTTATATGCTCAAAAAAGATAATTTATTTCACTGCAAGACAAATTAGTGCTTCCGAGGCAAAAATAAATATCAGTTGTTTTTAAACATTGGGTCAGAAGCTGGGCATGGTGGCGCATGCCTTTAATCTCAGCACTCAGGAGGCAGAGGCAGGAGGATCTCTGTGAGTTCGAAGCCAGCCTTGTCTACAGAGTGAGTTCCAGGGCAGGCTCCAAAGCTACAGAGAAACTCTGTTTCGAAAAACAAAAAACAAAACAACCCCAAAAATGGGTTAAAGAGTTGGCTCAGCCAGCAGTTAAGAACACTGGAACTCTTCTAGAAGGGACCCAGGTTTGATTCCTAGTACCCACATGATGGCTCACTACTGTCTCTAAGTCCAGTCCCAACTTTCTGCTGGCTTCTGTGGGCATCACATATGCACACTGTACACATAAGATAGTTTTTTTGTTTTGTTTTTAATTGAGGAACCCATAGACATATAAAAGTATATGATATTAAAGCAAATATTTCTGTCTAGACTGTTCCAGGTTTTGGGGTCTGTCTGTCTGTTTGAAGCAGGGTTTCTCTACATAACCCCAGCTATGCTTGAACTCACTGCATAGACCAGGTTGGCCCCAAGTTCACAAACATTCGTCTGCCTCTGCCTCTCGAGTGCTGGGATTAAAGGCGCGTACCATCACGCCTGGCCTTAAACAAAGTTTTGCTTTGTTTCTTAGGTTGGCCTTGAAGTGTGCTCAAGTGATCCTCCTGTGTGAGCCTCAAGTAGCTGTAGCTAGGGCAGGGTGCCACGCCCTCTCGTTTTCTTAGTGACTCATGGTTATTGCCGGGCAGCATGCACGCCTCACTCTCCAGGCCCTCCTTCTGTCCGCTCCTTTCCTCCTCTGTATTCAGCAGGGAGTGCCTCTGAGCAGGTGAGTCAGCGCAGCCTTTCAGGCTGCTCACCTTGGAGCTTTCTGTGTAGTTTTGGTAAAAAACAGGTTTTCTTAAATTGTATTTGAATTGATTTTTATATGTATGAACTTTGACAAGGCCTCCCTTCTGCCTCCATTAGAGATGAGTTTTGTGACATATTAAATTAATAATTCAAAATTGAAAATGCAGAAGCACTTGGAAATGTGGAATTCAGGAGTGGCTGTTAATAGGGGTTAGTTTCTCTCAGGCACCATTTCCTGAGAGAGACCTAGAATGCCTTCCTTGTTAGGTTACTTTCTGAAGGAGAGGGTGTCTGGCCTGATGTAGGAGCCTAGAGGCGGAAGTGAATAATAATGGTCAGCTTCCCTTGAGAGCTTACTCTGCCTCAGGCACCGTTCTCTGGCCTTTGCCATATCAGCTCTTGGAGTCACCGACAGGCACCGTTAATAGTTTCCATTGTAGAAGGAGGAACTTAGCTGGGTGTGTAGGCGCGCACCTCTAGCCCCAGTCCATAGGGCATGAAGGCAGATCTGTTCAGGCCATCCATCCTGAGTTAGAGACCAGTGTAAGACCCTTCCTCAAAACAAACTGAACAACCAGCCAAACGGAAGTGAGGGACCTGAGACGCCTGAGGATAAACTCTTTCTGCTAGAAAGTCAAGCGGTGGGGCCATGGCAGTTGCACACATCTTCTACTGCTTGCCCTAGACTGCCCAGGTGTCGGCAGCACCTTCTAGGACACCTAGCAACCAATCCCCTCTACTTCCTTGGTTGGGGAGGCAAAGGAATTGACTTTCTACTTTATGATTAGAAGGCATATAGGGCCATGGGTGTAACTCTGGTAGAGTGCTTGTCTGGTATGCATGGGGCCCTGGGTTTGGCACTGCCTCTCCCAAGCAGGAAGGAACAAAGGGAAGAAGGAAACAGAAAAGGAGAGGGAGAGGGACTATAGTGACTGAGGGAAAGCTAGCAAGAGCGAATGTGGCCAGGGCTAAAGAAAGCTGGTAACTTGGGATAACTGGATTCAGTGCAGCAGGTGAGGATGAGGGAATACTGGGTGGCGTGCAGGGTCCTCCAGTCAGTAGGACGAGTCTCAGGCTCGGGCAAACATTTCAGTTCTGTCTACTGTGAGAGTCGATGAGAAGAACCTAGCCCGAAACCTAAGAGGAGAAGCTGTGGGAATGATGCTTGTTGGCAGTGCACTGAGCAGTCAGTTTGACAGAGTGTATGTAGCCAGTGCTGTTCTGCCATGTGCGTGAGGCCTCTTGTGGGAGTGCAGCTAATTGCTGCCTGCTGAGACTTCTCTCCCTGGCAGGACATTCCTTGTGGACAAAAACATTGCTATCTAGATACTGGGGAGCTGCAATAAAAGTGTCTGATTTAGGGTACAGAGTGCATCTAATTCCCCATTTCCTCTGTTAAATCACAGCGAACGGGAGCACTTTGGATGGTTAATAGATTAGCCAGCATCTGTGCACTATTTTCACGCCTTTAACAAGGGAACATAACTTGCTCAAGGGAGCTGAGGAGTACTTAGGAGTGTGGGAACAAAGCTCAAGGAGTCATATTTGCCTGTATTTAACAAAGACCCTTACAAGTATAGAAGTGAACACCTTTTATCACAGATGAACATTTTTATAAAAAAAACATTTCCTTTCCTACAGTCTGAATGCTGTAAGCATGAGTCAGTGTGATTTTTCTTGTGATTTGCATCTTACTTAACAAGGATAGTGACTCCATTTAGCACTTTTTATTGTGGCAGTTGAGAAGAAATGAATTGAGAAATGGCAGAAACTCTTAGACTCAACATAATACTCTAAAATGAGGACAGATTATTGGGTAGCTTTTTGTGTGTGTATGGGGGGGAGGGCGGGGGCTGAGACAGGGTTTCTCTGTAGCTTTGGAGCCTGTCCTGGAACTTACTCTGTAGACCAGGCTGGCCTTGAATTCACAGAGATACTCTTGCCTCTGCCTCCCGAGTACTGAGATTAAAGGCATGTGTCACCACTGGCATTGGGTAACATTTCTAAGTAGTCGCCGTCTTGGGTGACTACAGCTTGCAGTCTGGGTTGGTTTTTTGTGTTGTGGGGGCGTGTTCAGAGCGAAAACATCTCTGCACAATTTGAGAAAATATTTTCATACTCCCAGCAGTACAGAAGAGTTACGGGGGAATGTGGTTGGTTATTCAAAGAGGAATGAAGATAACATTGAGCGATGGCAGGACTCTCAGCTAGGTAAGAATTCTTTCTGTCCAGACTGTTTACGGTGTGCTGACTGTTGCAGAAGTACTGTGCTTTACTTTTGTAAGGCCGCCCTGCAGCCTCCAAGGTGGAGATTTGATCATGCGGAAGCCCCAGTGCACCTGTTTTTCAGATCTCGCCAATGGCAGGGTTGCTCAGAGAGAAGCGCTTTTCCAGCACTTCTGCCGGGCGCTGCAGAAAGCGTGGGATCGAGAGAAACCTTCGGATTGCGTCATTGTCTCTATGGACACAAACCAGAGGTGACTTTATGTCTTTTTAGCTTACCAAATGAGAGTGTGTACACATTATGATTTAAGTGTGCAATCTTGGGCACATAACATACTGGGAGTCAGCATTAGGGACAGTCTCTTAAAATTGTCAAAATGTCACTGCTGGCCTAACTAATTAGAAGTAGGGGCATTATTTCTAGACTCATGTCTTACTTAGATTTTCTTTATTGCTTGCAACCCTCCCCCCTCCTCTTTTAGGCTGAGTGCATCTCATGCATAGGGACTTTTCTGTGCTGTTTTAAAATTGCTTCTGTCCACTATCTTAGTGATTTCATGAGGAGTGCCAGCCGTGCCTCTTGCTTATGTCTGTTTCTATAGCGTTTGGCAGGGCCTGGTGGGTAGACAAATGGTTGGCTAGAGGGCTATACACTTGTTGCAGTACCACTCACTGCATGATACTAAGGATCACACAATGAACAGGATTCTACTATATGATACCAGCCGTATGTAAAACATGACTCTATTAAGGCAGTGGTGAGCTTTCACATATTTCTTTTTTTAGTTTTTTGAGACTTGGTCTGGGTGTATAGCTCCACTGACCTGAAAGTTGCTATGTAAACCAGGTTAATATGGGAGGCAAAGATCTGCCTGCTTCTGCCTCCCAGGTGCTAGGATTAGTTAGGGTCATGTACCAACATACCCTGTCGTTGTTGCTGGTCTTCCTCTTCCTCATTCTTTCTTTTTTTAATCTGCAATCTTACAGCAACTCAGAATTTTTATTCGCTATTCAAAAGCAAAATTACAACTCCATTTCATTTGTAGGTTGTTGAGGTTAGACCTTGGGAGACAGTGTGCTAGAAGAAGTGAGGTCATTCACAGCGTGGGAGAGGGCCATTCCTTTTACAGTTCAATGATGAATTTCTCTTTAATTGAAAGATGTCCAGAAATGTCCTGGATTAATTTGATCATGTAGTAATTTAAACAGATTTCAAGCCTAGAGGTGGAGAAGACTCAGCATGTGTAGGAGATTTGCTGCCTCACCATTTAGCAGTTTTGCCACAAGATTGCTTTGGCCTGATCACTGCATTAATCTTTGGCTAAATTAGCTTCTCCCCCTTCCTCCCCAAAGGCAAGGTCTCAGTGTGTAGCCCGGGCTGGCTGTGAACTTGTGGCAACCCTCCTGCCTTAATCTCCCAAGTACTAGTCACAAGTGAGCTTCAGTGCCTAGGTTAGATTAAGTTAGCCTGGCTTTCCATTTTCCTCTCTCTTTAAATATTTATTTTTTTATTCTGTATAATGTTTTGCCTGCACACCAAAAGAGGGCACCAGATCTCATTATAGATGGCTGTGAGCCACCATGTGGTTGCTGGGAATAGAACTCAGCACCTCTGGGAGAGGAGCCAGTCATCTCTCTAGCCCCACCCAACCCCCACCCACCCAACATGGTCTTATATAGCTTACACAGACCTCAAACTTATTATCTAGGTGAAAATGCCCTTGAACTTGTACCTCTACCTCCCAAGTGGGATTATAAACATGGGGCATAAACTCCCCATGTGGTGCTGAAGATTCAGGGCTTTCTGTATGCCAGGCCAGTTCTTTGCCGCCTGAGCTACTGCCCAGCCCTTAGATTAGCTTTCTTAGTGTTCGTAGCAAGTATCACATATCTGACTTGGATCATCTTGTATTTCATTTAGAACTGTGGCTGACTCCAGCTGCTTGTTGGACTAAACATGATCCTGATGCTCTGGCTATCTTCCCATCAGCAGAGCAGGGCAGCCGGCACTAATTGAGGGCAGTCTTGTAGTGAAGACTGTCTGAGACTGCAATTCTTCTCTCCATCTAGAGTGGCATTAGAAGCTACTCCTCACATGTTGACTAGTTCCTGCCTGGTGTTCTGTGGCCTGGCAGTTAGCCATGGATCGGGAAACTGGAATGGATACAGCCAAGAGTTATGTCAGCCACAGTGTGTCTGCAGCTGCTGGTGCCCTGTAAGCAAGGCATGCTGTTTGCTCTTTTGTCGCTCTGATGGCAGTAAGGTTTATAGTGATACCTTAGTTAGTTGATTCATCTCTTTATTCTGCAAAACACTAATTTCCAGTTCATGTCATCTAATAATCTTTAGTTCTGTAAAACATGCATTTGACTGACTTGTTACATCTAAAGCTCTGAGCACAGGAATCTAAGTATAATTCAGTAACAATGTCTATTTGTGAGAGGTGCTGTTTAATAGGATAAACATACACATAACAGCTAGAAGAGCAGAAGTAGGGCTGAGGGTACAGCTCAGTTATAAGAGTGATTCTTCCTTGAGCACACTCTTACAAGCCCGGTACTTGGAAATGGGGACAGGAGTGCCAGAATTGTGAGATTGTCCTTGGCTACACAGTGAGTTCTACAGTCTGCACTACGTGAGATTGTCGTAAAAGAGAGTGATCTAATCTACTAAGGGCTTATCCCACCAGAAGCTGAATATTCATACAAGGAAGAGTGGGTTACCATAGTTTAGAGATTAGCTAAAGGGACCGCAGAGAGTAATGCCACTTATTTTGAGCCCCAGGACTAACGTGAGCAACAAACAGAAAGACAGAGGGATCTTAGAAGAAAAGGGGAGAGTCCGTCATTCAGGGATGATGAATGAGTTTGGCAAGTGAATGGGACGTTTGAAGGTTAGTATGTGTAGAGCCTGTTTAGATGGGTTGAAGTAATGTCTTTTATTTACTACTTTTTTTTTTTTTTTTTTTTTTTTTTTTTTTTTGTTTTTTCTTGCTAGAACTGAGAACACCAGGTAAGGAGTTAAGGTTGTAGAGCAGGACTTTGCAGGTTTTTAAGTAATTATGAGGTAAGAATGACCATATCAGCTCAGGGAGAGGATTGGGGAGATTGGGGAGCTGAGGAAGCAGGACATGTAATCACTTGGGGTTTTTGGTCCAGCGCTGGTTAGTGAGTGGTGAATGCTGTCTCCAGAGTCACTCATCCTCTCCGTAGGGAAGAGCCCTCCTGATGGAAGCGACATGGTCAGGGCCTCTCTTAGCCAACTGAGATGAAGACGGCCCTGTTCTTCAGAGTAGTCTTCTTACCTGTTCTTTTTGTTTTTCCAGACAGGGTTTCTCTGTATACAGTCCTGGCTGCCCTGGAACTCACTCTGTAGACTAGGCTGGCCTCAAACTCACAGATCCGCCTACCTCTGCCTCTGGAGTGCTAGGATTAAAGACAACGCACGTGCGCCATGACAACCCAGCAAATGCTTCCATTTTTAAAAAGGCTACTCATGCTTACTCAGCGCAAGCCAGTATGCCAAACAAAAGCACAGCCTCTATTGTCTGTTTTGTTCTGAGTCAGGGTTTCACGATGTAGTCCTGACTGCCCTGTGTAGGTCAATATGTAGACCAGGCTGGCCTTTACTAAATACTCATAGTCAATCTTACAGAGGATTTTACAGTTTCACAAAAGATTCTACTTCACTAACATAAATAAAATAAAAACATTGTCTTACTGCTTACTGTTTGCATGCTTAAATGTGTAGTGGTGATATGGGCTTTTTTCTTCTATTAAACCTGTGTTTTATTTATTTGTGTGTGTGTGTGTGTGTGTGTGTGTGTGTGTGTGTGTGTGTGTGTGTGTGTGTGTTAAGGGATTATGTGACAGCCATAGGCCGCCGTCTGCAGGACCGTGGTCTTATAGTGGAAACAATTCACCTTGCCTCCGAATCGGACCTCACTCGCGCCCTGCAGGATGTTAAAGATGACGGTTCCCCCTTTTGTATTCTTGTGGAGCAGTCTAATGTGAAATATTCCTCTTGTACCGTAATCATGCTTCATGAATCCATCAAAAGTAAGTGTGGGTCCTAAAAGTCTCTCTGGAGACAACCCTGCTTTAGACACGAGTGCCTCTTCTTTTTGTGCTAGCATACTTTGAAGGTTCATGTTTGTAGCTGAGCTGCTTTTAGTTGAGGAAGAAAGTACTTTTTCTGTGTATCGCTAAAAACTGAAACCTAAATCGCCTTTACTGCATCTGTGTAAGGATCACACAGCCAGATATGGTGGGCTTCCACATTTAGTTCCAGAACTTGAGAGGCAGAGGCAGAAGGACGGGTCACTTGAGCCCAGGGGTCTGGGTTATGCAGACCCTGTCTCAAACACAAAAGACCCTAAAATATCCCATCAATGATGTTATATAGTAGATTGCCATCTGTAGAGGTTTTGGCACTAGCTTTTATATTCTTGATGGTTAAGTCTCACAGACTCTCTTTTCTCAAGGATTCTCTTAAACTTTATATTAATCTACTTCCCCTCACTGTGGGGGTAGGGGTGGGGGGTGGGTGATCCAGTTTCTTATTTTTCCATCTGAGTTCATATAGAGCCATGGTACAGGGTCCTGCTGAGGCTGCCCATCATGGCAGTGGTGTCAGAGGACGATGCTTGTCTGGACCATTAGAGTGAAAGACAAGAGCGAGGGGCCAGACCAAGTGTGCCTTTCCAGAGTGTACTCTGGTGACCTGACTCTTTCCTCCTGGACCCTGCTGCTCGACAGTGGCTGGAGACCAAACCTTTAACACTCGGGCCTTTGTGGGTATGGACCCAAACTCTTTCTTATTTTTTAAAATATGCTTTTTTTCTGCTTTCTCATCCGTTTCTTTGTTCTAACATTCACGAGAAAACATGAAAATTAACACACACACACTCTTTTTTTGTTTGATTTTGAGACAGGGTTTCACTGTGTAGTCTTGAGTAAAACAGAACTCATTCTATAGACCAGGCTGGCCTTGAATTTAGAGATCTACCTCCCAAGTGCTGTCTACCACCACTGTCCAGTGAAAATGATCCCTTTCTGCTCCCTGATTGTACAAGCTTAGGCACATGTACACATCCATGCACATCCTCCATCTTCTCCACTGTGGGCAAATGTGCCTTTCCTGTTCCTGTCTTGACCCTGTCCTCTGCAGTTGGAGGCTGAAAATGACATGTTTCCTCCTGGACACAGGGAGAGCCTCATGGGAGTTTCCTCCATACCCCGCCTCTCTCTCACCCAGACCTGCTGAGTTTTCTAGTCCTCTTTCAGAAGTCCATGCACCATTCTGTTCAGTCTAAAGGCATTAAGTGTCTCTTGTATCCCAGGCTCTGTATTTCTGGCTTCATTCTTGGCCCTGGTTAGCAGTAGTAGTTGAGCATGCTCCTCCTGCAGACTCTGGATCACCCAGCAGTAGTCAGAAGGTCTTGCTCTTGAACAGAGCCCATGGAACATTAGTAGTAGCTAGAGTTAATTCATCCCCATAACTTTGAGACTTGGTAGAGAAGTGAATATAGGGTTAATGTTCTAAATTCAGCTGTCACGTAGGCTCTGAAGGGAGAAACATGATAAGCTCTTGTGTCTGACGTGGGAAGACTGGGCTTTTTAATTAGGAGCATGGCATCTCTTTTGCCTGCCTACCTGCCACCTTTTGTTCAGTGCTACACTTGAGAATGTTAAATTATGGTTTGTACTTAGTAGTTTAGGAGGCAAAAATCAGTTACTTTACACGTAAGTTCTAGAAATGTAAAAGAACACACTCTTCCAATAATTACAAATCCCACTCTCCTGGGAAAAGTTTAATTTGAACCAGTTGTGAAAAGGACTAATTATGTTTCATTACTTAAATGTTGACATCATGCAAGATCATTTAGGAAGTTATCACAAAATAGGTAAAATATTTGTTGAGTGTTAATTTAAAAAAAAAATTATTACCCCAGGCAGTAGTGGCACATGCCTTTAATCCCAGCATTTGGGAGGCAGAGGCAGGAAGATCCCTGTGAGTTCTAGGCCAGAGTGATCTACAGAGCGAGTTCCAGGACAGCCAAGGATACAAAGAGAAACCCTGTCTCAGAGAAAAACAAAAACAATAATCACCATTACTTCAAAAAGCATTTTATCTACTTTCAGTGTGTTTTGAAATCAGGAGGTGATTTATTTATGTTTTCTTTATGTTCAGAATAATGTTAACGTGAACATTTATTTGTCATCCCTAAATTATTAAATTCAGATCATAAGCAAAGAGAGCCTTGTTTTCTCTGATGAGCTGTGTTTTATTAAAAGTAAAACTAGTTGCAACTGTTCTCTTTCAGAATTCTTTATAGCAAGTGTGTGGCTTCTGTGCCAAGACAAGTATTTAAAATTAGCCACACTATGAAGTTTAAAGCCTGAAGGCTAACATGTAATATAGTCGTACTACTTCCTAAATGTAACCTTAATAAACATAATGTAAGATTTAGCCAAATATGATCATAGCTCCTGCAGCTCTGGAGAACCCTGGCATGGAATTTGTTCAAAACACAGTGATACATGGTAGACCAGACAGGGTAGGGCTCATCTAAGAGGCAGCTGTCATGAAGTTATCTTCCCCAGATAGACCTGGAAGAGACTGGAATACATCTGTGTATCGCCTACAGCCAGGAAGGCATGGGGAAGCTACTTTTAGGTCTAGAATATGTTTTCTGTACAGTATTTCTTTCCTAAAGTATTCCTGACCATACCCACAATCTCACAGGGCTTTGCCAGAGATTGCAAGACCATTGAGGGTGTGGGTTACTCCTCACATGGCTGCATCAGCCTAGAAGCCCTATGTGCCTGTGGTCAGGTATTCGATTAGAAATGAACTCTTGAAGGATGTAGCAAAGACTAGCAGTTCCTTACCATCTGTAACCCTTCTCGACTCCCATAGCTGTCCTTTCTGGCCTAATCCCGCCCATCTCTTCTGGGTATCTTCTTCCTCTTAGGGCATCCTGATGCTGTAGTCCAACATAGCAACTTCACCTTTCAGCTTCTCATTCCTTGTCCTGTCGTCTTTCATTATTGTGTGTCATTGTAAAGTGGTAGGTTTCATAGTGACGTTGTTCAAGTCTATTACATACTTTGGCCACGTTCACTCCCCAAGGTCCACTTGTTTCTGGGTTTTGCTTGTTTGAGATACAGTCTAGTATACTCCACCCTGGCATCAGATTTGCTAAGTAGACTAGGATGATGTTGAATTTATCTTTGCCTCTGAAGCTCTGAGATTATACATGTGGTATCACATTTGACTTTTGTTTCTATTTTTTGATGTGACAATTTGGTCTTTTAAAAACTGGGTTTCTTTTCTTTAAGACTTTCTGGGCTTGGGAAATTTCTCAATAGGTGAAAGTGCTTGCTATATTTCTGATGACCTGAGTTTGATGCCTGGAACCCATAAAAAAGTCAGATGTTGTAACACACATCTATAACCCAGTACTTTTTATGGCAAGGTGAGAGGTAAAGAGAATTACCCAGAAGTTTTGTGGGCCAGCTAGCTTGGAGTATACAGTATGTAGTGATGGAAGTGAGACCCTGCCTCAAAACAAAGTAGAAGAGGGGCCACATGGATGCCATGCCTATGCACTTGTGCTCCTGAACACTCTCTTGCTCTCTTTCTAACTCACTCTCACACATAGATATACATTATGTAAATAATTAAAATTGGTTTTATTGACACTTATCCCATATATTTCTATAGCTGTTATAATTAATATATTTAGTTAAAAAATTTTGGGGGGGGGTCAGGGTTGATCTCTGTCAGGGACCGCTTTGTGGACTCGAATGACCCTTTTACAGGGGTTGCCTAAAACCCATCAGAAAACACAGATATTTACATTATGATTCATGAACAGTAGCAAAATTGCAATTATGAGGTAACAATGAAAATAATTTTATGAGGAACTGTATTGAAGTGTCACTGTATTAGGAAAGTTGAGAACCACTGCTCTATGTGACTTTGACTGTCGTAGACCAGGCTGGCTCCTCTCAAAGGTCTTGTCTCCCAAGTGCTAAAATTAAAAGCATGTACCACTATGCCTAGCCTTTATATAATCTTTCAATAAGAAATGTCTATTTTGAAATCAAATAGAGCACCTGCTGTGGAGGGTACTAGTCATTCTATTTAAAATCACATATGTATCAAAGACCAAGACAGTTTGTACAACTTGCAGGTGGGCTGGCTGTTGTCTGACTTGTCTTTTCTTGTTTTTTTTATTTTATAAAGATTTCTTTAAAATAAAGAGTGAGAGAGAGAGAGAGAGAGAGAGAGAGAGAGAGAGAGAGAGAGAGAGAGAGGGAGAGAGAGAGAGAGGGAGAGAGACCCCTGTATGATAAAGCAGCTTGTTCTTCTCTCTAGTACATCGGCATATGCCCCTGGAGGATGCACTGGTTCTGGTGGCTAAAGAATTGAAGAGACTTTTCATCAGACAAAGCGTTGGAATTTCTCAGAGGGCTATTGAGCTGGTAGATGACTTCCTGGCCCGTGAGCACCTGGCCAGTTACTCTGTTCCATCCAGCATTTGTCATCTTCTTTTCCTGTTGAGTGAGGGGAAGCATTTGTACAGTGATGAGCTGGGCCTGATCATGGACTACTTAACAATCAGGAAAGAGCAACTGCAAGGTACATGACATTGTCCCTTCCCTTCTGAGTTCTGGACTCTTGGTACAGCTTTTTCCTATAAATCCATGTGTGTGGAAGAGAGAGAAGTGTGTGTGTGTGTGTGTGTGTGTGTGTGTGTGTGTGTGTGTGTGTGTGATACAAAAGGAACTAGTCTTCATGGGTTTTACACTTAAGTTTCTAACCTTTGTAGACTAAAATGTTTCTTTTGAGGTTAAAGTTTCTTTTGAATCAGATGTTTAAAACTATGTTTATGGTAAATTCTTTTTACATTTATTCTTGTTAAATGTATGTGCAGGTGTGGATCAGAAGACATCTTGTGGGATTGTTTTTTGTTTTTGTTTTTTACCATGTGGATCCAAGAATTGCCTCTTGTAGAGCAGGTCTTAAATCCAATTATCAAGCGGTTAGTTACCCTATAACCTTCAAGCCACTCTAATAGCATGGGTGAGCACTTCTTGCCTGGCTGGTCAGTATCACAGTCTGCAGGATCCACGGTTGGGTAAGACTATTGATGGCTTTATCCCACCAGCCTCTAGCTCTGTGGAATCTAGCCATCAGGGGGGAAGCATCCAGCTCTGTACTAGCTTCTTTTCTCTGCATCCTGCAACATACAACACAGTGTATGTCTACAGCAATAGAACCGTAACTGCCAGGCAGCCAAGAGAAGCTGCAGTGTCTTGTATTCCTTTGGAAGCTCCCTAACCAATAGCACATAGGGAGGTATCCTACACCTAGCAATGGGACTTCTGTTTCGTAACTGGTAGCTTAAGGGAGCAGCATTACCCAACCATTGAGGGCACGTCCATTCAGACTTTTAAGAAGTAATTTATTTGTTATATGCACGGGCATGGTGTGTGGAGAGAGGGCATGAGTATGCCAAGCATTCAGCGGAAGGAAGCAAACAATTTTGTGGAGTTGGCTCTCTCCTTCCATATTTTATGGACTCCAGGGATTAACTCAGGCTTTTACAGCAAGTGTTTTATCCACTGAGTCATCTTGATAGCCCTTCTCTTTTTTTCTTTAAGTTAGCTTTACAATGTAATAGGTTTCCAGACAGCTTTTACATATATCCCCTCACCTCCATCCCGTTTAAACCCCTCATCCCCAGCCATTCCCTTTCTACCTCCATATCCTATGTTGAACCAGATTTGCAGTAAGTAGAACGATCTCTGTGTGTACATAGTTCCTCCCTCCTGGCTCTGGGCTTCATCTTTTGTTAACACCGATAAGCTTACAACAATGGTATAAAGCATAAAGATGAATATGGTTCCTAGTCTTGAGGATTTTACAGAGCATTTCATTTATGAGCTCGAACTGGCACTTGGAAGGCAGAGGCAGGTAGATCTCTGAGTTTGAGACCAACCTGGTCTTTGGAGTGAGTTCTAGGACAGCCAGGGTGACACGGAGAACCCAATAAATAAATGAATAAGTAGTAACTTTCTTGTTAGCTTCTTTTGAGTGAAATGTGTGAGACAAAACTAATAACCACTTGTCCCTTCCAGGGAAAAGTAGCTGCTGTGCTGCACACCTGGGGTGTATCATGGTTTTAATGACTCATTCATCTGACAAGAGTGTGCTTAGTTTTATATACTTATTATTCTTACTTTCTCAGGGTGGGTGGAACTTATAAAGTTAAAACATGACAGTTCTGTTTCTTTTTATTATAGGACTTTCTAAATCAGTAAGAAGAAAGAAGGCTTTCTTGAGTACGCAGAAGTGAAACTTTCTTGAATAGTCCGAAAGGCTCACTGGCCTGGACTGCAGGCTCCCGCTAACTATTGGTTCTTTTTACTTTTCCAGGATGCGAGGCTCCGGATCCATCAGCCAGCAGCATGCCTGCCTCATTTCAGGGCAGGATCACCCCCATTGTGAGCAAGCCTCCTCCTCTGCTGCCAGCTTCTGGCCCCCGGCCCTTACTGGATATTGCTCTTCCGCGCTCTATCAAGCCGCTGGTTGGAGACAGGCAGGAAGTTGGCCTGCTCACTGCACCAGGTCAGTGCTTGTCGGCCATGCAGAGCACATCTCTAGCAGTGTCTCTTCCCCTTGGGGACCAGATGATGTGCTTTGGATTTCCTCCTGGAAGAGACCCAGAAACTTGAAGAGATCCTTCTGCTGAGCTTTATGACTAGGGCTAGAGCTTTTTGAACTGGGTTCTCATAATTTCTACCCTAAATTCTAATGTTTTGAGACTTTTATTTCTGAAGGCCGGCAGTCTTCTAAAGTTTCATTACTCTAGCTTTTATTCTTTTTTTAGTTTTATCAATTTTACTTGTATGTGAGTATTTTGCCTGCATGTATGTATGTGCACCATGTGCGAGCCTGGTGCCCACTGAGGTTTTAGAAGAAGGCGTCAGATCTCCTGGAACTGGAGTTACTGACGGTCATGAGACACCATATGTGTGCTGGGAACCAACGCTGAGTCTGTTGTGAGAGCAACAAGTCTTCTTAACCACTGAGCCATCTCTTCAACCTCACTGTCCCCTTTCTCTGTGTGACAGGATCTGTCTCAGGTTAGTTTAATACTAGAGACTTGAAAGCTTTCATGACTAACCTCAGTCCTGACTGGATCCTGTTGCTCGGAATGGTTCTCAGATCCATCCATCTCTTCTCCCTGGGAAGAGGCCTGACTGAAGTCTAAGCACATACATTCAGACATCAAGTCAGGCCTGGCTGGCTTTGAGCACCAACTCTGTGCACCTCTGAGGAGCCTCTCTGCCAGTGGCTGAGCCTTTTCTGTCCCAAGAGCAGGAAGTTTATCCGTGTTAGGTCCACAGAGCTCTCCTGGGACCTCACCTCCCTAACCCTGACCTTCCGTCTTTCCTATTCTTCCCTGGTACTTGAATTGAGATTGGGGAGGAATGGTTGCTAAAAGCACATTTTCAATTTACCACATTAAAAAAGAACTTGCCAGTGGGGTCTCAATTAAAAACATGACTTTTTTTTTTTTTTTTTTAAAGTTTGAAAAAAATTAAAAGTATTTGTATGGGTGTTTTGCCTTTATGTATATCATGTCATATCTGGTACCCAGGAAGTCTGGAAGAGAGTGTACAGTCTTCTGGGAATGAGTTTTCAGATGGTTGTGAGCCACCTTGTTGGTACTGGGACTTGAACCTGGGTCTTCTGGAAGATAACCAGTGTGTTCTTAACCACTGAACCATTCTTCAGTCCCCCAAAATGACTTTTCACTTGGTCTTTCAAGTTAAATTTATAGTCAGGAATGCTTCCGATCCCTTCCCACTGCTGGGGTGCAACTCAGGGTCTCAGAAGTGCTCTAAGCAAGTGCTCTGCCCCTCAGCTGCATCCCTAGCTTTGGGGACATGTTTGTGCATAAAAGTCAGATGTGTTTTTCTTTTTTCCTTCTTTCTTTCTTTTTTTTTTTTTTTTTTTTTTTGAGACAGGGTTTTTCGGTGTAGCCCTGGCTGTCCTGGATGGAACTCACTCAGACCAGGCTAGTCTTGAACTCAGAGATCCATCTGCCTCTGCCTTACGTGTGCTGGAATTAAAGGCGTGAGCCACCATATGCTGCAGAGTACATATATGTATATATGCATATATATATGAAACATTTACTTACTTGTTTATTGGTTTTTCAAGATAATGTTTCTCTGTAACAGCCCTAGTTTACCTGGAGCTAGGTCTGTAGACCATGCTGGTCTCAAACTCACAGAGATCCACCCGCCTCTGCCTCCTGAGTGCTGGGATTAAAGGCATGCTCCACTACTGCCCGGTTTATTTATTTCAAGAATGCTTTGTAGGAAGAGGAGGATGAGAGTCCCAGAGAATTCAGATAAACTGGAATTAGGATAGGATTTTCACACTTCCTTTTGAAGGTTTGTTTGGTAGATATTTAGGATTTGGGGACAAGAAGCAAAATTTGGGATGTATGTATGTATATATTTGAATAGTGGTTTAGATATTAAAACTGCTGGGCCAGGTGACAGAAGGCAAGCCTAGATTACATAATCAGGTCTTGTCTTCAAACAAAAAACAAAACAAAACAAAACAAAACAAATCACACAAATTAAGGGTTGGGAAAGATATCCTTAACCTGAAGGCCATCCCCAGACATGGGACCTGATTGAATGCTGGTCTTCAGTTTGCCTAGCCCTAGATGGCACCACTAAAATACTATCCTATTCTGAGAAGTTGGAACCTGGTGTGAGTTCACAGTGCTCTCAATTAGGCTCTTTCTAAGGATTAAAGGAAGTCACTCAGTTCCTTCCTGTTTATGCTTTGGTTTTCATTCTCTGCAGGGCTGGTCAACCCCAAAGGTCTGTTTCCTCCTCCCTTGCTTCAGGTAGGCCCATCTAAGAGGCCTGCTCCCTTAGGGTTCCCCTCCGCCGTGCCTGTCAAAAGACCACTACCTCAGAAGAAGCAGTTGCCAGGTGAGTTGAGTGGCGTTCTCACTAGTACTGCCCAGCAGACCTTTCTGTGCTGATGGACACCTTCTGTGGCCACACTGTTACCGAAGTCTCATTTACCATGTGCCTGTTGGGTAGGTGAATGTGGCTACTGTGACTGAGTATGTAACCTTTTTTGTGTTTTGAAGCAGTCTCTGTAACATAGCCCTGGCTGTTCTGGAATGCACTCTGTAGTCCTGGAAGAACCACCTGCCCTGCCTCCCAAGTTCTGGGATTGAAGGTGTGTGTCACCACATCTGGCATGAGCAAGCACTTTTTTTTCTTTTTCTTTTTTAATTTAATTTTATTTATTTATTTATTTTTTTGAGACAGGGTTTCTCTGTATTGCTTTGGAGCTTGTCCTGGAACTCTCTCTGTAGACTAGGCTAGCCTCTAACTCACAGAGATCCTCCTGCCTCTGCCTCCCGAGTGCTTGGACTAAAGGCATGTGCCACCAATGCCTGGCCGAGTAAGCAAATTTTTAATTCCATTTAATTTAAATTGTTTATATGACCATCGACTATACTGATGAGACTACAGTGAGCAGCCCAACTCTGGACCAGTGAGGGCATCAGAAAGCTATGATATGTTTTTTACTAATGTAAACCTGATTTCTTAGTCCTTTGGACTCTACTTTTTGTTGTTGTTTTTCGAGACGGGGTTTCTCTATGTTGCCTGTTGATCAGGCTGGTCTCAAACTCACAGATCTGCCTGCTTCTGCCTCTCCAGTGCTGGGATTAAAGGTGGGCACCCTTTAATAAGTTTCACATATACATAGGAAATGTTTCTTCCATAAATGGGCATCATTGTTAATTGCTATAAGATGGATGGTAACTTTAGGAAAAATATGTACATGAGTGTGTTATTAAATTTCCTGTTAGATGCTCATGTCTGCCTCAATTGCTTAAGCTTAAAGCTTGCTTGCTTCTGGCTAAAATGGTAGTTACTAAAAACCAAAGAAGTGCTAATAACACACCAATACTACTGTCCGTTGATTTATCCAGATGAACCAGGAGAGGTAGGCCAATAATGCTGTCAGTCAACTGTGGGTCTTGAATCTTTAAACACCTATGCAGATTCTGTTGGAATCAAAGGAGCAGGAGGAAGGCAGGCCTGCTCTGCTGTAGAGAGGTGCTGCTGCGGTTGTGATGTACACATTTATAAAATGATGAAGGTGTGGAACAAGCTTTGCCTGTGACTCTACCTCTTGCTCCTCAGATAATATGACTGGTTTTGACATGTCTGTTTGGCAGGGTGGAGTGGTGGGACTTCTTTGGGGGAAGTTTAAAGAACTTTTAATTGCCCCTAAGTTGGCCCTCTATGGCTTCTGAAGGCTTTTTTAGTCCCCAGACAGCAAAACTGATGATTGTGGGAAAGTTTTTTAAAAAGCGTAAAAAGCAGCTGGGGATATAGGTCAGTTGGCATAGGTGCTTGCCTTAGAATGTGTGAAGCCCTGCATCCAATGCCCAGCACCGTGTGAGCCAGGTATGGCAGGTCAGGAGTTTAAGGGCCAAGCTGAGAATATGTCTCAGAACACACATGTGGGCCTGGGAGATAGTTCAGTGAGTAAAACCAGCTACATACATGTGGCGAGTCCAAATTTGATTCCTGGAATGCACATTAAAAAGCTGGATGTAGTAGTACCCATCTTTCATCCAGTTCCTAAGTTGTGCACGCATGCACACATGCGTACACACTTACATGCACTCACGTACACACATGCACTCACGTACACACATGCACTCATGTGCGCACACACACACCATGCACTCACACACACTGAATTAAAGTATGAGAGTATCTACAAAAGGGAAGCAGCAAGCATGTTGGTACAAAGTAAAGCAATAACTATTAGGACACGTCAAATCCCTGTTGGGTACCAGACATGGATATGCAATCTAGGTTTTTTGGGGTTTTGTTGCTGTTGTTGTTGTTGTTTAATTAAAATATTTTTTCTGTTTAAATTGTATATGTGTGAGTGTTTTGCGTCCATGTATGAATGAGCACATGTGTGCCTGGTGCTTGAGGAAGTCAGAAGAGGGCACTGGATCCTGTGGGACTATAGTTATAGATGGTTGTATGCCACCATGTGGGTAATAGAGAGATTGGACCTGGAGTCCCTGCAGGAGCAGCAAGTGCTCTTAATGGCTGGGCTCTGGTATAGCCACCTGTCCTTACTCCCACAGAACTGTAAAAAGTCAAAGGGAAGAGTGAGCATGATTAGCATGGATCTGGGTACACCCAGGAGGTAGTCAGGAATTGGGGAGCCTGGTGGGAAGGGGCATCCTTACCTTTGGGGGAACCTAAGGGTCTTACATGTGACTGCCTAGAGATAGGGGTTGGGAAGCTGCTTCATGCTACCCTTCAGTAAGATGAAGGTTATCACCAGGATTTAGGGAGCTAATAAGGACACTTCAGTCTGTTGGAGAATTACACAGATAGGTTTGGTCCTGATGTGACTGGACCTTGGAACAGGCTACTAGGATGGCAAATGATACTGCTTTATTCCTCCTTTTGTAGTTCTTATGAAGTCAATGCCACCCAAGCGGGCACTCCAACCCATGTCCTTACGGAACTAAGGGATGTACTGAGGAGTCTGAAGAATGAGGTGTCTGCTTGTGGCCCAGAGGGCAGCTTTACATCTTCCAAGAATCAAGGTCCCTGCTTGGCTGCAGCACTGCTGTCCAAGCCCTGAACACAACTGTGGCTTTCTTTGACATATAGTCCTATGGAGACTTTCTCATCTATACAGTAATCTTTTGTTTTGTTTGTTTTTGGGTTTTTTTTTGTTTTGTTTCTCAAGACAGGGTTTTTCTGTGTTGCTTTGGAGCCTGTACTGGAATTCACTTTGTAGATCAGGCTGGTCTCAAACTCACAGAGATCCACCTACCTCTGCCTCTTGAGTGCTGGGTTTAAAGGTGGGTGACACCACCTCCTGGCTATACAGTATTTTTATGTCAAATACAAATAGTTGTACAAGGTCATTGATTGTTGTATTGAGCCCTGAAGTTATTCAGTTATGTTAAAATACAATAAAGTGTCTGACTTTTGCATAATGCTTGCTTGCCTTGATGCTTCTGTTAAAAACTTTATTTGGTCTAATTTTAGATCTACAGGAGATTTGCAAAGATGATACAAAACAGTTTCCTCATGCATCTGTCTCAGTAGCGTCATACATGACCATGATGCACTTGTAAAGCCTAATGCCTTAATGTATCAGAGTAACGTTAACTATATATTAAAGACTTTATTTGGGTTTCACCAATTTTCTCACCCATGTCATTTTTCTGTTCCAGAGTCCTAGTCTGATAGCCATAATACTAACTATGAAGAGTTAATCTAATTAACCTTAGTCAGTGAAAAACCAGGAGTCAGTTATCAGGGTAAAAACCTGGAAGATCAGCCAGGCCATGGTGGCACACGCCTTTAATCTCAACACTTGGGAAGCAGAGGCAGGTGGATCTCCATAAGTTCAAAGCCAGCCTGGTCTACAGAGTGAGTTCCAGGACAGTCAGGGCTACACAGAGAGACCCTGTGTCAAAAAACAAACAATAAGAAAACACCTGGAAGATAGAGAACCAGGAGCAGCCACCAGTTGTTTCCTACCTGTTTCCTTCCTCCATCCAGAAAGTCCAAGATCCTGTCTCCACCCCACTTTGTCACTTTCTGTCTGTTCTTCTCCAGTTCTGGAATTAAAGGCATGAGCCACTATGATTAACTAGTGACTAGCTCCACTCTCTGACCACCAGGCAAGCTTTATTTGTTAGAACATGCACAAAATATCACACAACACATCTGTGTTCTTTTTCATTTTAATATGTTCCTTTCTTTCACTAGGAATGTTTTTCTTTTTAGTATAAAGACATTTGCATAAGAAGTCCTGTAGCTGGACAGATGGCTCAGTGGTTATGAACACTTGTCTTTCAGAGGGCCTGGGCATGGTTCCTAGCATTCACATGGTGGCTCCAGTTCCAGGAGATCTGACGTTTTCTGATCTCTGTGGGTGTCAGGCATGTACATGGTGCACATACATACAAGTAATACACTAATACACAAAATTAAATCTAAAAAATTTTGAAAATGAAAAAGTATTGTAAACATCCCTATACTCTTTTGCTCTGCTATGAAGGTAAATTGTATAGTCACCACACCACCTGTAAATATCTTTGCATGTATTTCCCCAAAATAGGGGTGTTTTCCTACATAATTGTGATACCATTATCCTAGTTTTAAAAAATGAGTAACTAAGCATGGAGTGTTGGACATTCCAGAGGCTAGGGCAAAAGGTTTTTCCAAGTTCAAGACCTACTTGGGCTAAGACCCATCTCAAAATCCTGCACACCATAATAAAAATATTATTCCAGAATATTCACTTACCTAGTTTAAGTATTTGAATTTCCACACTTATCCCAAGAATGCTTTTGCTTCTCTAAACGGGGACCTAATTAATGTTTGTTCATTACATTTGGTTTCTTTTTATAGAAATCAGTTACCTTTTTTTTTTTTTTTCTTCATTCTGCTTTTGAATTGTAGTCAGTGGTTTTGCAAAGTACATTAACTGACTCAGTCTACTTGTGTGGGCGTGGTATCGTTTACCTATCTGTGTGTCTAGAGTTTGTTCTAGTAGTGTGATGGTTTTCATGCTGCAGGTTTTTGACTACAATATTTGGAGGTAGTGTGTCATATTAGAAGGCCCACTTAGCTGGAGTTCATCAATATGTGAGCTGAGTGGTGGTGACTTCCTAGTACAGAGATAAAATTCCCCTGGCATCATACAAATGACCCATTCCCCATTGACTTGTGTCTACTGATGGGTAGTGTGTGAGGGTAGTGTTTGGACTTTTCCTCCATTTTAAGTGACTTGTACCTTTAACATTGGTGAGTTTACTTGTCCATGGAACTCTGTTTGAAAGCTGTTACTTCAAAATGCCCGTTGTGTCTGTTTTTGTGTCTGTTTTCATTCGTTATCTGAGTATCATCATGCTGGGGGTATGTGGTGGAGACTGACTGCTTTAGCTAACTGGGTGTTTGTGAGGACCTGTGTTTTATGAGCCTCTGCTCTGTTTTCTTTGTTGTTGTCCAGGAAGCCATTGTGTGGGTGGGCCTGGCACATCTCTTCACTGATTTTCCTCATTGAGGGATTTTGGATTGTCTTCACATTCATTTTTTAATTGTGTATGAATGTTTAGCCTACATGTGTATTTTTACATGCTTGGTGCCCATAAAAGCCAGAAAAGGGCAGTGACCTTCCTAAAACCACAGGCAGTTAGGAGCCATGATAGGAATCAAACCCAGGTCTTCAGAAGAACAGCCAGTACTCTTTAACCTGCCAAGCCACCTCTCTGGTCCCTGTCTCCATAATCTTATTCATGACTTCGTGCGTGTATATTTTCCTTTTTCTTGATTAAATATATAGGAATGGGATTAGTGGATCACAAGTAGACCTACTAATGGATCTACTGTTTCACGTTAAGCTCTGGTTGCCCGCGTACCTGTTCTGTGTTTGATTTTAGCGTTTTGAGTGGCTATGAATGTTGGTCATTGTCTTGAGTTTTTAAATTATCTTTATTTTTATTATTACTATTATTATTAGTTTTGTTTTGTGTTTTGTTTTATGAGACAGGGTTTCTTTGTGAGACAGGGTAACCTTGAACTCAGAGATCTGCTTGCCTCTACAGAGATTAAAGGTATGTGCTACTACTGCCTGGCTGTTCATTTGGGGGGGGGGTTCCTTTTTTTTTTTTTTTTTTTTTCTGGTTGTTTATTTTTTAGTTTTTCGAGAGAGGGTTTATGTGTAGCTTTGGAGGCTGTCCTGGAACTCGCTTAGTAGACTAGACTAACCTCAAATTCACAGATGTCCACCTGCCTCTGCCTCCCAAGTGCTGGGATTAAAGGCATGCGCCACCACTGCCCAACGTTTTTGTTTTTTTGAATGGGGTGTTTCTACATAGCTCTGGCTGTCCTGGATTCAGCTCTGCAGACCAGGCTGCCTTCAGACTCATAGAGATCTTCCTGCCGCTGCCTCCCAGGGGTGCCACCACCACACCTAGTACTTTAAAAACTTGTATTTATCTGTTTGTGTGTAGCAAGGGGTGGGCAGTGTGGTGCACATGTGAATCAGAGGACAACTTAAAAAGTCCATTCTTTCCTTCCACTCTGTGGGTTCCAGGTAGCAGTCTTGATGTTTTTTCCTGCTGAGTCGTCTCACTTTCCCCTTTATTATTATTTATTTTACTTTACCTTTTAGATAGGACCTCCTGTAGCCTAGTGTGGCTAAGGTTAGCTTTGAACTTTCCATCTTTCTGCCACCACCTCTGGAATGCTAGGATTACAGTGTACAGCACCACACCCAGTGTATTCCAAATTGGGGGGAGAAACCAGGGTGTGGTGTGTGCTAGTCTCAAACTCAGAGAGATCCACCTGCCTCTGCCTCCTAAGTGTTGGGGATCAAAGGCAGGTGCCGCTACTACTGGTTTTCTTTGTTTTTCAAGACAGGGTTTCTCTGTGTATAACCTTGGCTGTCCTGAAACTCACTTTATAGACCAGGCTGACCTTGACCTTACATCAATCTACCTGCTCTGCCTTCCTAGTACTGGGATTAAAGTTCCACCATGCTTCGGCTAATCTTGTCTTTAACAACCTATCCTGCCTTTCTGGTAACTGACCTGTTGTAACCACAGTGCCCGCTTTGCTTTGCTTTGCTTTGCTGCCAAGGACATAGTAAACTGGCATGATTTCTTTTTATCTATCTATCTATCTATCTATCTATTTATTTATTTAATTTCATGTGCAGTGGTGCTTTGCCTGCATGTGGGTGTGTGTGAGGGTGTCAGGTCCCCTGGTCAGTTGTGAGCTGCCATGTGGGTTCTGGGAATTGAACTTAGGTCCTCTGGAATAGCAGTCCTCTGAATCACTAAGCCATCATCTCTCCAGCCCCTTTGTTCTTTTAAACAGCTTTTATTTCAAGGAGAACTCTCGGAACTCAGTCTTTTCCCACCTGTGAGTTCTAGGCATTGCGTTCAGTTTGTCAGCCTTGGTGGGGCCCTTTTGCCTACTGAGCCATCTCACTAGCTCTTTGTTTTCTTTTAAAGATGGGGTCTTGCTATATAGTAGTAGTTGAGCTTCATTGTCAGCTTGACTGGATTTAGAATCACCATGGAAACACACCTCTAGGTATGCTATTTAGGGGTATGTCCAGAAAGGTTTAACTGAGGAGGTTTAACCCAATGTGAATGTGGATGACACCATCCCATGGGCTGTGATCCTGGTCTGAATTAAAAGGAGAAAAGCCAGCTGTGTGCCAACATGCCCCTCTGCTGTCTGACTGCTGATGCCGCCTTGCCTTCCCAAGGTGATGGACACACAGTTGCACTGAGCCATATTAAACACTATATACCTTGAGCTGCCTTTGTCACAGCAATGAAGGAAGTAAGATTTTTAACTGTTGACCTGGAGTTTTTCTTCTATTTTATCAGTACACATTTGCACGTGTCTGCACGTAGCTTTGAGAAAGTGGTTTTGGTCAGCTGTGAGCAGGTCCTCTACTCAAATGGACTTGCTACATCCTGAGCCCTGGCCTCAGATCCCGTTTGTCCATGTAAATATTAGCGGGGGTCCTCCTGCTTCCTGGTCCTTGGATCTAGGATGTGTTCACTTCCACCCTCATACTCCAAGCTCTGAGAACTTCTGGGACTTGCTCCAGAGTTCCTGGCATTTATCCCAATGCCATCAAGGTTCTCCTTGTTTGTCTGTCCTCTCAGCAGATCATGGGCCCAGGTGCCAGGACTATGCTTTGTGCCTTTGTGTGTCCAATATCTAGCTCAGTGCCCAGACCCAGCAGGTTCCTG